GCCCAAATCTCCATCATGTTGGATTAGACCTTGACTTTCTTAATATGACTACTATAGCACAAGAATTAAAATCAAGAATTAATAAATGGGATGGATTCAAACTAAAAAGCTTCTTCTTAGCAAAAAGAAACAATCAGTGAGGTGAATAGATAGCCTACAGAATGGGAGCAAATTTTTACCACGCACACATCAGATAGAGCACTAATCTTTTAAGATATATGAAGAACTCAAAAAGCTAAACACCAAAAAAATAAATAAATAACCCAATCAATAAGTGGACCAAGGACCTGAACAGACACTTCTCAGAAGAGGATATACAATCAACAAATATATTTTAAAATGTTCAACATCTCTAGCAATTAGAGAAATGCAAATCAAAACTATTCATTTCATCTCACTCCAGTCAGACCACATAAAAATAAATAAAGGTGTTGTGTCCAACTAAAATATTTAAAAAAAAAAAAAAAAGAATCCAAACAACAATAAGTGTTGGTGAGGGAAAAGGGTACACTCATACATTGCTGGTGGGACTGCAAATAGGTGCAGCCAATATGGAAAGCAGTATGGAGATATCTTGGAAAACTGGGAATGGAACTACCATTTGACCCAGCTATTCCACTCCTTGGTTTATACCCAAAGGACTTAAAAACAACACACTGCAGTGAGGCAGCCACATCAATGTTTATAGCAGTACAATTCACAATAGCTAAATTGTGAAACCAACCTAGATGCCCTTCAGTAGATAAACAGATAAAAAAAAAATGTGGTTTGTATACACAATTTGGAATATTACTCAGCATTAAAAGGGAATAAAATCATGGTGTTTGCTGGTAATTGGATAGTATTGGAGAATATTATGCTAAGTGAAGTTAGCCAATCCTGAAAAACCAAATGCTGAATGTTTTCTCTGATATGAGGATGCTGATCCATAATGGGGATGGATGGGGGAGCATGGGAGGAATGAATGAACTTTAGATAGGGCAAAGGGGAAGGTAAGAGGCATGGGGGTAGTAAAGACAGTAGAATGAGGTGGACATCATTTCCCTAAGAACATGTATGAAGACGTGAATGGTGTGATTCTACTTTGTGTACAACAAGAGACATGAAAAATTGTGCTTTATATGTGTAATATGAATTGAAATGAGTTCTCATATATAACAAACAAGAATAAATAAATTTTAAAAAATGAGGGCATAGAAATGAGGGTTGAATAAAAAGCTACAGGAAACCAGTCAAAGGTTTGGAGTACTTGAGGGGAGAGGAAGAAATGGTAGAAAACCATGCAAGTGTTGTTGGAGACCACAACTATAGGGGTAACAGTCTGTATTTTTGTGTGATTTCTATAGTAGTACTCACTTACGTGGGTGTTAAAGTAGAAAAGGTAGATTGTAGTTATTTTTAAGTTGACCTTTTACTGCATAGGTGCAGATGAAGGAGTTACAGGATGCAGATAGTTCAAGTGATCAAGGATGATTAGGGAAAGACGTAGGAGATAGGATAAAAGTGGATGGAGAGGTAGGTTAAAATGAAGGGATCACTGGGTTAGAGAAGTTAGGCTGAAAAGCAGACTGGTAGAGACAGAATAAGAGGTTTTGGTCAGAAAATTAGATCATGAAGTTTAAGGTATTTGGTGTGAAACAACTCCAAATGTTAGTAGAGATTCAGAATAGGATTAGTTGCTGAAATGGATTAGAACTTGAAGATGATTAGTATTTAGAAATGAGGTTGGCCTCTTATAAGAGAGTTACCTACATGAACATTCAACTTTCCCAGCATCATAACAGGAATTGGATAGAGAAAAAATTGTAAGCAAATGCCATAATCTTCAGTGAATGTGAGTAAATGATCAGGAAGTCAACACATGACAGAGAAAAGGACAGTACAGCTTCTGCATCAGAGGAAAACATATTTTGCTGAAGAGTACAGAAAGAGCCAAGATAATACTAACGTACCTATTTGTGTCTCCCTGCCTTCCTGGCCCTGTTGTATAAAAGGTATGAGAGAATGAGCAGTTCTTCCCACCAGAAATGACATCAATTTAATTAATGCAATAAGGCAGAGCAAGTGTTCCATGAAGAGGTTTAGGGTATAGAAAAGTAATCCTCAGATCTCAGAGGGAGGAGCAGTTCAAATAGAAAGGGCCAGGAGTGAAGAAACACAAAGCAGTCAAGAAGTAGAGGTGAGATGAGGTAGGAAATGAAATGTTTCATTTGTTGTTTGCTGGAGAAGTACTGGTAAGTGTGGTGTGACTACATTGACTGACCTCAGCAATCCTTACTTGGGCACAGTTTTTTTTGTTGGTATAGAAGTGCATGAATGTCCCAAAGGCTGCCATATAGGAATATTCCTCATAGGATAGACTGGGGGCTGCAGTTGTAGCTCAGTGGTAGAGTGCTTACCTAGAATATGTGAGGCACTGAGTCCAATCCACAGCATTATATTAAAATAAATAAATAAAATAAAGGTATCAAGTCCATCTATAACTAAAAAAAAAAAGTGAGACCAGGCTTTGTGGCACAAACTGGGCTTGGGAAGCTGAGACAGGATGATTGCTAGTTCAAAGCCAGCCTCAGCAATGGTGAGGTCCTTAGCAATTCGTGAGACCCTGTCTCTAAATAAAATACAAAATAGGCCTGGGGATATGGCTCAGTGGTTGAGTGCCTCTGAATTCAATCCCCAGTACCCTCCCCCAAAAAAGACAATGAGAATCTGAATGTAATAAGCTTTTTATCTTGTAGCTATAACAAGAATGTGTGGCTTTGAAAAATCAGTACAGCAATCTATATTTAGCATCTGTTAGCTAAATAACAGTCTCTTATGACTGAAGATGATTTTTCATGGTTCTTTTTTATGTTCTGAAATGACTAATGGAACCATCTGGAATTGTCAGATTTTAATTTCCCCAAAGGCCGGCAAAGTCTTATTTAGCTTTGTAATTCTTTACAATGTTAGGCTCAGTGCCTGGCACTGAATAAAAGAGTGAATAGAGTAAATATATAGAATTTTGGAATAAAAGAGGACATATATAGAAGGTCAGTATTCATTCTGCTTTAACTGTTGTTGTCATTCATTCCCTTTTAACTTCTGTATGTTAGTTTTGTGTGACCTTAAGTTTCTTAAACTTTGTTTTGGAGATGCTCAGTAAATATTTAACATAGGTATTATGTTATTTCTTACATAAGCAAGTGGAGGTTTAGAGAGGTTAAGTAACTCACCCAGTGTTACATAGCCAGTAAATAGTACAGTCAAAATTAATTCCAGTGAACCAGGCATGGTGGCATGCACCTGTAAAACACCAGCTAATCTGGAAATTGAGGCAGAAGAATCCCCAAATTCTATGCTGGCATAGGCAGTATAGTAAGACTCCATCTTAAAAAAAAAAAAAAGAAAGAAACTAGTCAATCAATTCTAATGGATTTTGAAGGTCAGGTGCTTTTCAGATACTAGACTTAGAAATAGTTTTAAGAGCATAGAGCTGATTTTGTGTTTCTTGAGCATAAAGCTTTAAAGCTGTGATCCTATACTCTCATGCAAAGATGTGTCTTTTATGACTTGAGAATTTATATGACCTGAGATGTTAGCATGGATTTCTCAAGCCTTGCTGGCACTGATGTGTGTTCTTCTGGACCACTTTGTATTTAGGTAGATAGGATTATATCTTCCCACCCAAAACCGTTACCAAATACACACTGACTTCTCCTTCTCTCTTTCCCTGATTGCATGGCAACCACTGTTCTGCTTTCTGTCTTTGTGTATAAAACAATTATTATTAGAATGTGAAATGATTTTATTTTGTTCACTTAAGAGCCTTTCATCTGGGCTGGGGTTATAGCTCAGTGGTAGAGTGCTTACCTAGCAATCTGTCAGGCACTGGGTTTGATCCTTAGCACCACATAAAAAAACAATAAATAAAATAAAGGTCCATCTACAACTAAAAACACTATTTTAAAAAAAGAGCCGCTAGGGCTGAGGCTCAGTGGTAGCGCACTTGCCTGGCATGTGTGAGGCACTGGGTTCGATTTTCAGCATCACGTATAAATAAATAAAATAAACCTCTATCAGCAACTGAAAAAAAATTTTAAAAGAGCCCTTCAGGGCTGGGGTTGTGGCTCAGCAGTGGAGCGCGCGCCTCGCACGTGCGAGACCCTGGGTTTGATCCTCAGCACCATATACAAAAATAAACAAGTGAAATAAAAGTATTGTGTCCAACTACAACTAAAAAATAAATATTTTTTTTTAAAAAAAGAGCCCTTCATCTAGCAATCATATCATTGACAACTCATTTGTGTGTGTGCCTTTAATTATGATTATGAATTAATTTAGAAACCATATAAATGCTTATGTAAAATGATTTTGTTGTTGGCTTCTGTATTTCCTACTGTTGTGTAACAAATTCCCACAAACTTAGCAGTTTAAAACAACAGACATTATCAGTTTTTTTTTTTTTTTGCATCAAGAATCTACAGCTTGGATTTTCTGCTCAGCCTCTCAGGTTGTAGGCCAGTTGTTGGCTGGGCTTGCATTGTTATCAGGAGCTTCAGTGGGAAAAGATAAATTTCCAAGTTTCCTCAGGTTTTTGGTAGAATTCATCTCATTAAAGCTGTAGGATTGAGATCCCCATTTCTTGCTGGCCATTGGCCAGGGACTGCTTTCCAGCCTCTAGAGGTTACCTGTAGTCCTCTTGCCACAAAAGCCTCTCCATAGGTACTCCTGTAATATGTAGCTCAGTTTTTTAAAGCCAGCAGGGAGAATTTCTGACTCTGGGAGGTTAGGCCTAGACCTCAACTGATTAGGGAACCTTAATCATGTCTACAAAAATCCTTTCATTTTTGACATATGACCTAATCATGGGAGTGACATCCATATTATCTTGGTTAAAACAAGTCTTACAGGTCCTACCCATCCTCAAGAGGAGGAGATTATACAGTGTGTGTAAATGGGATAAAAGGGCACCTTCGAGTCTTGCCTGCTATAGCTTCCTTTTTTAACCTATTTCACAGGGGTTTTTATCAGCTATTGGACACCCTTTCCCCAAAATTATTTTTAATCATGGAAGGAAAAAGAGGACTTGGGATTACCTTGAAGTTGAGGAAGAAGAAGACAAACAATTAGCAGACTCTATGGCTTCTCTGGCATATCTAGTATTTGTTCAGGGCATCAGTATTGATCAGCTTCCAATGGTCTTAAGGTAAGAGTTAGTAGTATTTGGTTTATTCATGTATTCTAAAAGTATCAAACTCTCATTTATCTAATGTCCAGTATATGCATATTAACACACTAGTACATTTAAAATAAAGTATAAACAAAGGCTGTTTTTATTAGTTCTAAATGATACTGGTTATAATGTTAAAGCCAGGTACTAGGAAAGTGCTCTAACACTGAGCTACAATCCTAGCCCAGATGAAATGTTAAAATAAAAAGAGGTGAATATTAAAATCTGTATAAGGGAATGGTGGGCACAAGAGTCAAAAGTGTTAAACTGGTCTTGGTTTTGAAGCTTTTGGTGCCTCCCAGAACTATAAGCAGGGCAGGTGGCTAGGTACTACTCATGGTTACTTTTAAGTATCATATTCTATCATATTACAATAACTTATGAAATATGCATATTTGCTAAGGCTGCTAAAGTACCACAAACTAGATGTTTATTAAAATAACAGAAATGTATTATCTTATAGTTCTAGAACCTTAGAAGTCTGAGATTAACGTGTCTCAGAAGGTTGTTTCTTTCCAAGGGCTGTGAAGGAGAGCCTTGTTCATGCCTCTGCCTCTAGCTTCTAGTGGTTTGTTCCCAGTCTTTGGTGTTCTTTGGCTTATAGATCTGTTACCCTGTTCTCTGCCTTCATGTTCATATGGTAGTCTCCCTGTGTACATGTCTGTCCAAATTTCCCTTTTTATAGAAACCAGTCATTAGTGGATTCAGGCCTACCCAAAGACCTCGCTTTACCCCAAATAAGGTCATATTCTGAGTACTACAGGTTATGACTCCAACATATCTTTTTAAGGGAGAATACAATTCAACCTATAACTGTATATTAAAATTTATAAATATGTGTGTATACATCATTTTTTTTTCTATTTTAGCCCATCATACCTTTTGCAGTTTAATATGGGGCATATTGAAGTCTTTTTGCAAAGGTAAGATCATTTATATGGTATCTCAGGATTAAATAGTAGTGTTGAGATAAACCTTGTCAAGATCAGGGAGATGGCCTTCTCTTCACAAGGCCCTAATTAATTGATTATTTTATAAAACAGTGAAGTGAATATTTATTAAGTCTTTTTCTTAATAAGGGATTTTCCAGTTATCTAAGGTTTTTAACCTTACTTCAAAAAAATGGTAATTTTTTACCCCACTGCAGGCTTCTCCATCTAAGGAGAGTCAGTCAATACAAGAAGTTCATCTTTTTGCTTCATGGATGCAATGTAAACTATATCAAAAGGAAGTAGACTTCTTAACCTCACAGTTTTTAACTTTGATTATTGGCAGTGATATTCAGTTATAGTTTTTCTCATTTGAGGTGCTAAGATCAATTATACCTTTTCTCATTTGGGGTGCTAAGAAAGAAGACTTTCTTTTTTTATAAAAAAGGAAGAAATTACAGGGTAACAGGTATGCATAATTTCTACAGACAGAAAATTTAAGCATTTTGCACAACTCTAAATGGTTTCTCTCCCTATAACAAGTTAAATTATTTCTTAAGATCAGTCAGGGCCTTGCAATGCTCTCCTCTATTAACACTAGTGACAGTTTATCAATTCCATCTCTTCCCAGGTGAAGCAAGATTTGTAACATGGCAAATGTCCAAAGCCTTAGCCTCTAAGGCATGAATTTCAAGGGTCTCCTGGCACAAGTAGTTATAGACTCTATACATTTTCTGTAATATATAAGCCCTAATGATTTTATATTTCATTAGTTTCTGTTATTCATACAATGAAAATATGTATTGTTTTGAATCTTTGTTTTTTTTGGTACCAGGGATTGAACCCAGGGGTGTTAACCACTGAACTTCATCCCTAGCCCTTATTATTTTTTTATTTTGAGACAGGCTCTAAGTTGCTTAGGGTATCACTAAGTTGCTGAGGCTGGCTTTGAACTTATGATCCTCCTACCTCAGCTGCCTGAGTCACTGGGATTATAGGCATGTGCCACTGTGTCTGGCTTAAGTTCTGTATTTATATTTCCAAAAAATTTAGTCATTAACCGAAAACATAACACTTCTAACTAGTTGCATGGCTAGAATAAGAACCTGGAACCTGAAATTGGTTTTCCAAAGATCTTAAATATTTAGTTAATAATGATTAATTATTTAAAAAGTATTATCACAAGTGGAATATTTAATTCTTTTTTGTATAAAAATAATTGAAAAAATTTATAGAACAGCCAACTGGAATATATCAGTTATAATTTATTTCTTAGCACTTGCTATTGAAAATCTGTTGATTTGCTATCAATAAATAGGCTCTGAGCAGGTAGTTTTGGTCAGATTTGGACCCAAATCAAAAGAGATATTAAAGGAGATGAAGAATTTTCACTAATTCTTCAACAAAATTTATCCTTAATGATATACATTTGTTTTTCTTAAAGAATCATTTGAAAACAATTTATAAAACCATATTGACAAATTTTAATATTCTCTTCCAGAACAGAAGAGTCTGTTTTCTCCAAAGGATTGGTAAGATTTGTTTGTTTTATACACACACACACACACACACACACAGATACTTGTGTGTGTGAATGCATACTTTTTTGTTTGTGTTTTGGTGGTGCTGGGTATTGAACTCAGGGCCTAGCACTCTATCACTGAGCCACATCCTTAACCTCTTCCATTATAATTTAAATACAAATCTTGTCAACACAGCTATTGATTTCACCTTGCATATATTTTAATCTGTAGGAACTGCTGGAGAATGGTTTATTGAGAATAGAAGACAACAGTATACTTTACCAGTACTTAGAAATCAAGAGTTTTCTTACTGTACCTCAGGTAAATAAAACATACACTGTAACTTGAAAATAACCCTTACATTCCTATACTTTAGTAAGGTAAAGATCCCTCCAATTCCTCCTCTGCCACTTTCTTTACCTCTGAAAACTCAAGTGTATTGCCATTCAATAGAACCTTCTATAATGATGGAAATGTAATTACCTGTATCATACAGTAGAAAAGCCAGGAGCCTTATTGAATGCTTGAAATGTGGCTAATGGGACTCAGGAATTTTAAATTTAATTTAAATTAATTTGAAATTAAATATCTATTAGTGGCTACCATAGTTGATACCATAACATCTAGAGAAAATGTATTAACTTTCTTGTTGAATACTTTTTGTTTCTATAGGGTTCTTTTTTTTTTTTTTTTTTTTTTAAGAGAGAAAGAGAGAGAGAGGAGAGATAGAGAGAGAAATTTTTTAATATTTATTTTTTAGTTTTCGGCGGACACAACATCTTTGTTTGTATGTGGTGTTGAAGATCGAACCCGGGCCGCACACATGCCAGGCGAGCGCGCCACCACTTGAGCCACATCCCCAGCCTCTATAGGGTTCTTGAAAATGAAATTCCTTTAGCTTTTCTGAAGCATCTGAAGCATTTACTAACTCACTACTAGAAAAACATTTTGTTTTTCCCTCCTTGCATTTATTTTGCCTAGTACTCTTTGTTGGTTATAATATCCAAATAAGTCCTTAGCTGTAGACATTTCTTAATATTTAAATAGAAAATCATGACTTTTGTTAATATATTAAGATGGAATATATCAGTTATAACAAGTTAAATAATAATAAGTTAAATTATTTCTTAAGATCAGTCAGGGCCTTGCAATGTACTCCATTTCTTCTACATGCTTGATTTCATTTTCTTGCCACTCTATAGATATATTTGAAAATTACCATTTACTTTTTTTATCAGGGATTAAACTCAGGGGCACTCACCACTGAGCCACATCCCTATCCCTATTTTGTATTTTATTTAGAAACAGGGTCTCACTGAGTTGCTTAGCACCTCACTTATGCTGAGGCTCGAAATCCTCCTGCCTCAGCCTCCTGAGCCGCTGAGATTATAGGCTTGCAACACCATGCCTGGTTTATCATTCACTTTTAAAAACACACTTTGTAACATCTCACTCTGTTAATTACAAAATCGATTATAGTTAAGTTTCCTTATAGAAATAGTAGTGGAATGAAAGGAAAAAAATAATTTACTTATAAATCTACCCTCACTTCTTTGAATTTTTAGTATTCACTATTGGTAATGTATTTGTTTGTAGTCACTATAACCTATTTACATCAGAATTAAATTTTTCTTTTTTTAATTTCCAGGGCTTAGTCAAAGTGATGACACTTTGTCCCATTGAGACATTGGTATGTACATTTGGGGGACTAATGAGTTATAATAAGAAATTTTGATAAATAATTTTATTTTTATTCATTTTATGTAACAATTTTATTTGTTCCATTTTAGAGGAAAAAGAGTTTAGCTATGCTTCAACTGTATATTAACAAGTTGGATTCACAAGGCAAATATACTTTATTTAGGTATGTATCAGGCATGGCTAATTGTTAAGTATTATGGTTGATTAAAAATCAAGTTAATATTATGTAATTATTATAGGATATAGTATTTCAGTATGTTTTACACATAATTCAACTCTAGTTAAAAGCCATATTATAATTGTCTAATCTGTGACAAGTAGAGGTTTATCAAATATTTTGGATACATATATATCCATGTATATATAATATAGTTCAGTTCAATTAATTGGAGCACTCCAAACTTAAAATAGGTTTTAAAAAGATTAAACTGAGGTTGAAACACTCCTGCTAGAACTTTACAATTTTAATAATCTCCACTATTCACAGTTGAGAATAGCTCTAGATGTATAATTTTAAAACACTAGAACTTTATAATTTTGGAAATATCCAGTTATAAATAGAATTACTAGTTAGTAAGAACAGTAACTATTACAAGTGGCTTTGTAATTGCTTGATCTTCACTATGGATTTTATATCCCTAGAAATAAAACATGGCCCATTTAAATTTGCAAAACTTTCATCATCATTTAGTTGTAATGTAGGTCAGAATAATTTCATACATTGTAATTTTTGCTTTCAAGGTGCTTATTGAATACAAGTAATCACTCAGGTGTGGAGGCCTTTATTATTCAAAATATCAAAAATCAGATTGACTTGTCATTTAAGGTAAGAACATAGATAAGGTGTCAGTTTCCAATTAATTTATTAATATTGGGAATATATCAATGTGGGGTTTTGCCCTAGTCTTTTTCTTTCTTTAGTATTAAGCTATATTCTTTCCCTATTTCTATTCTTAAAAAAAAAAATAACAATTTTGAAGTTTTGTTAACTCTAAATTTAAATTGTATTAATTTTTTGAGCTAAAATTATGACATTTTGTCATATGCTTCTGAAAAGTAAATGGAAACTTGTCTCATGTATTAGTGAATATACAGTATTTTCCATATAGCAAACAGAAAACACCAATATTCTCAAATGAGCAGTGTTTGTTTCAGGTGTTTGGAAAGTGAATAGAAGTATCAAAAGTTAAAGTTAAAAAAAATATAGATATACATTTTAAATGTGTTAATAGTTTATTCTTACAGCATCAGGGTATTAGAAAAACACAATTTATCATGCTATTATTTAAACCTTTCCCAATTTTTCTTTTGCTTTTCAGAAAACAAAAAACAAATGGTTTACAGGACCACAGCTGATTTCTCTTTTAGATTTGGTACTGTTTCTCCCAGAGGGTGCTGAAACAGATTTACTGCAAAACTCAGATAGGTGAGATGACCATTACTAAGGTTCAAATAGTAAACTACCTAAACTAATAAAATATATTTTCCTGTGATTTTATGATCTGGGTTAAGTAAAGATTTTTGTATTTAAGTTATTTGATGTGTAAAAACAATATAATCTCTTTTAAGAATGACCAATACTCTACTTTTATACCTTTAATGTATCCAGCATTCCATAGAGATTTGCAACTAATGTTTGTGACTAAAAATTAAGAACCTCGTGTATATAATTTATAAAAAGTTTATGTATTTTGATTTTGATGTTTTTTTCATATAAATCATGTAGTTTCACTTTTGATATACTAGCTGTTGAGAAATATTTTTAAGCATTTACAAACAAGAGGAATTTTTTTCTTTTTTAGTATTTTCAGTTGTGGATGGACACAATATCTTTTATTTATTTATTTGTTTGTTTGTTTGAATGTGGTGCTGAGGATCAAACCTAGTGCCTCACACTTGCTAGGCAAGTGCTCCACCACTGAGCTACAACCCCAGCCCAAACAAAAGGAATCTTAAAATCTAGAAATCAAGACAGTGCTTTCAAATATTAAAGATAACAATGTTCTAGAAGTAAAGCATTTGTCTAGCATGCATGAGGTCCTGTGTTTGATCCCTGGTACACACCTGCCCCCCCCAAAAAAAAACCCCACAGAGAATAGTAATTTTCACAGTTGCATTGGTGTGAGCTTAAATGCAAATTGAGTAATAAGTTAGTCCTTCTCCAAAAGATATGATGGTAATAGTTTTTAATGACAACCATAGTTATAAAAACATTCTCAAGATTTTTAACTTGTTTTGTGCATTGAAATTGCTGTTGATTATATAAAATTATACTGTAAGTAACAAATTATTTTTAATTAACAGGATTATGGCTTCATTAAATTTATTGAGATATTTAGTTATCAAAGATAATGAAAATAACAGTCAGGTAAGTGAATTATTTGAAAAAGAAAGAATGTATTAAAAATTCATAAGGAATGTTTCAGATTTTCTTAATTAGTATCTACTTAAGCCAATTTTTAATATCTTAGCCAGCTACAGAGTTTGGGATAAAGTGCCAACAATTTATTCTGCCACCTGCAGTTAATTCCCAGGAGCATTTACCACTGCACATCCAAGTTAACTTTCCCTTTGCTTTTTCTGTTGTGCCTCTGCTCTTTTCCTAGATGCACTTAGGTCTGTTGGGTAGATAAGTTGCAGATCCTAAGTTAACTGTAACCTTGTGGAACTCAACTTATATTCTGGTGACTTGTTCAGTTTCCTCTACCTTATAGTTCATGATTTAAGCCTGAACCATGTAAAATTATGGTATTTTAAAAAGATACATGATAAATTGAAGTATTTTCAGCACTAAAACTAAATTTGTTAATAGCACTTTTTGGATAATGTGTAGGAAGTTGGATTTTTTTAAAAAATACCATTTCATTTGAAGTATTCAATAAGTAGAAGACTATTTGAGGAAGATGTGTCATAGAAAAGTTATATTTGCTTTTACCTTTTCCTTCCCTTCTACTTACCCTATTCTAATAATTGCTTTCCTTATATGTGTCACTTCTGTTAACTATAACCATCTTAATTATGTGTTGTTAATCTATTTTTTTAAAAAAAAGTATAAGGAGAATGAAAAAATTGATTTTATGTAAAGATGCCTGAGAGTTTAACAAATACATAGATTGATTTATCCAAATCCATATCAAATAGAGAACATTTAATCATCACAAGAAGTTCCCTTATGCTCCTTCCCAGGTAATTCTGACCTCATTGCTCCACCTCCATCCTATCCCTGCCACAGGCAGCCACTATTCTGGCCAGGTGCGATGCAACACTTATTCTTTACTTTTCCCTCTTCAGTGATAATATAGGTACAGGAAGAATCATTAACTTGCACAAGGATACACATCTAGAAAATGTAGAAATGGCTAAGACTCCAGTGGCCAGAAGTTTTGAAATCACAAAAATCTTGGCTCCTAAAGGAACTTGTGGTAAAAACAGAAAAGTTACAGCATAAGATTCAGCAGCAGTGAAGAGACCCTAAGGTTTCAGGAAGGTGTCCATAATTAGGGTAAGGTATGAGTTTTTACCTTTTTAGTTATCAGGAAAGATTGTTAACCTATGTAAGAGATGATTTAAGTTGCTTAACAGTAAAAAAAAAAAAATGAATCTTTTTTTTTTTTTTCTGGTACTGGGGGATTTAACTTGGGGTGTTTTACCACTGAGCCACATCCACAGCTGTGCTAAATTGCAGAGGCTGGCTTTGAACTTACCATCCTTTTCCTGTCTCAGCTTCCCAAGCTGCTGGCATTATAGGCATGGGCCACTGTACCCAGCGAAAATGAATCTTGGTGATTATGACACACAGATTATTAGGTGTGATGTACAATATAATACAGAGGCAGCAGTAGGTTCTTACCTAGAGAAGAAGAGTAGCTTAGCACTGAACAATGTCTGCTTTGATATCCACAGATAATACTCACTTTGATTTGGCTTGAACATTTCATGGTGAAAAAAAAGAAACAACCAGTTTATAAAACTGACTTCTTATTTAATGGTTTAAAATTTTTTCCCTTAGGGATGAAATATTCTAAATTTTGGCCACATAAGTTACATAATTATCATACCAGGGAAATTAGCAAAAAAAAAAACTAATCCAAGATGGCAATCTGATGTCTTTGAGGCAGCTTAAGAGCTTGTGCATTATGGCAATGTTTCTCCCATGTACAATTATAATACATCATATATATAAAATGAGAAGCAAATCTGTCTCCTGTGGTTAATCAAAAAAATGACAGCTTCTGTAGCTGTGGGTTAGCTCAGTGGTAGAGTACATGTTTAGCATTTGCAAAGCTCTGGATTCAATCCCCAACAACCAAAAAAAAAAAAAAAAAGCAGTTTCTTAATTTTTAAGAAGTTTTGGATAAAGGAAAAACAAAATTATATTCTTGTCATACTAAATAATGGGGCATTTTATTCAGAAGGACTCCTCCCAGTTTCTATTTTTGATAGGATATTTGTCAAGAGGCTAACTAGTCAGATGAAAAATTTAAAAGTCAGAAAGATATACAGGAAATTTAAATAAGAACAGAATCATTCAAAGACAGCAAAGTGATTCATAATTGAATAATAATCCATTTCTTTTCCTGTCATTTCAAGTTATTGTCCACTAATTTACTCTTTGACATTCCCCTCCTCACCCTACTATTTCATGACTGTCTCCCTATATTGTGTCAAGAACTTTATCCCATACCTCAGTTTCATACATCTTTTCTTGAATCTTACAGCATAAGTCATGCTCCATATCTAATATAAAAACCAACTTAATTTTTATACCAAATATTCCTTATTGGGGAGTATCTTTAAATAGTTATTACTTGTTTTGAATTATAGTAATTCCAATGCACATCCATAATTATGCTATACCTTACCTTTTGTCTACTCATATTTTTACCCATCCACTTGCTTGCCCATTGTTTCCTACATAGTTTCTGATTGTAATGTGTACAGTAAAAGCAGGGTCAAAAGAAATGAGATTTCAAAAATCATAAGTAGCAGGAATTTTTAAAAATTGTATTGTGTAATGTACGTATACATATATTCTTTTTACTTAGGAAAAAAGTACAGATATCTCACATAATAATACATATATAATTCTATATAATCTATTCTTTCCTCAAGATTAAAACATATCCTGGTGCTGAGCATGTAGCTCAACATTAGAGCACTTGCCTATCATGTGGGAGGCTCTGGGTTCAATTCCCCATACTGCAAAAATAAGTAAATAAGTAAATGAATAAATAAATACAAATATATCCCATGTGAGGTATCTGCAGTGCCAAATGACTTCAGGTGATAAAAGTTCAATAATATTACAAGTAGCAGAAGTTCTGCAGTATTACTTTATAAATAAGAAGACATATACAAGTAGGAGAAGGGGGAAAGCTGGTTCTTGATCATGTCCTTTTTTTTTTTCTCTTCATTATTATGGTTGACTGTATTCTTTCCAAGTTCCCTGTCTGTTCTGGAAATAAATTTAATCGTGGTATAGAAATACCTTCTCTTCCTTTTGTAAGAGAGTCTGCAGTAGATTTTGGAATGTATAGTTAAGGCTTAGAACTGAAAAGATTTCAGAACTATTACATCAATTGCAAGTTACTTTTTTTCCTAGACATTTAAGATATATACACAATGGAATTTTACTTAGCATTAAAAAAGAACAAAACCATGGCATTTGCAGGTAAATGGATGGCGTTGGAGAAGATAATGCTAAGTGAAGTCAGCCAATCCCCAAAAAACAAATACTGAATGTTTTCTCTGTTATAAGGAGGTTGACCCATAGTGGGATTGGGAGGGAGAGCATGGGAGGAATAGATGAATTCTAAATAGGGAAAAGGGGTGGGGAGGGAAAGGAACGGGGCAGGGGATTAGCAAGAATGGTGGAATGTGATGGATGTTATTATATAAAGTACATGTACAAAGACCTGAATTGGGTGTCAACATACTTTATATACAGAGATACAAAAATTGGGATATATATGTGTATTAAGAATTGTAATGCAGAAAAAAAAAAAAAGCATTACCTTAGAATAAGTAGAGGGAAGTGAAAGGAGGGGAAGGCAGGGGATGTGGGGATAAATAAGAAAGATAGTAGAATGAAACAGACTATTACTTTATGCATGTATGTGACTGTATGACCAATGTGATTCTACAATATGTATACTCAGAAAAATGAGAAATTATATCCCATCTATGTGTGATATATCAAAGTATATAAGTGCAATTCTACTGTCATATATAACTAATTAAAATAGATAAAAATTGTAAAAAAATAATTTCAACAGAAAAATGAAAAATGGTGACACAAAGACCCACATTAAATGCTAGAGGTAAAAATAAATAAAAACGAAGGAAACTGAAATGAAGAATTCTTATGGGATGATAAGTATAGCATTAAACTGGGATGCAGAGGAAAAAGTAAGTGAGCTTGAAAATAGAGTGTAGAAATTCTATAGTTATCCTATATTTAGACAAAGGCGCCAAAAACATACATTGGAGAAAAGATGGCCTCAACAAAATGGTGCTGGGAAAATCCACATGTAACAATGAAATTAAAACTCTCTTTCTCACCATGCACAAAACTCAACTCAAAGTGGATCAAGGACCTAGGAATTAAACCAGAGACCTTGAGCCTACTGGAAGAAAAAGTAGGCCCAAATCTCCATCATGCCAGATTAGGCCCAACTTCCTTAATAAGACTTCTATAGTGCAAGAATTAAAACCAAGAATCAATAAATGGGGTAGATTCAAATTAAAAAGCTGCTTCTCAGCAAAAGAAATAACCAGTGAGGTGGATAGATACAGAATGGGAGCAAATCTTTACAACAAGCACATCAGATAGAGCACTAATCTCTAGGATGTATAAAACACTCAAAAACCTTAACACCAAAAAACAAATAACCTAGTCAATAAATGGGCCAACGAACTGAACAGATACTTCTCAGAAGAGGATATGCATAAAAGAAATGTTGTTCAACATCTCTAGCAATTAGAGAAATGCGAATCAAAACTACTCCAGTCAGAATGGCAACTATCAAGAATACAAACAACAATAAGTGTTGGTGAGGATGTGGGGGAAAAGGCGCACTCATACATTGCTGGTGGGACTGCAAATTAGTGCAGCCAATATGGAAAGCAGTATGGAGATTTCCTTGGAAAACTTGGATGGAACCACCATTTGACCCAGCTATCCCACTCTTTGGTTTACACCCAAAGGACTTAAAAACAGCATACTACAGGGGGCTGGGGATGTGGCTCAAGCGGTGGCGTGCTTGCCTGGCATGCGTGCAGCCGGGGTTCGATCCTCAGCACCACATAGAAATAAAGATGTTGTGTCCGCCCAAAACTAAAAAATAAATATTAAAAATTCTCTCTCTC